TAAAAGTGGAAATATATTTGTTTTGTAGTATTCTTTTATAATGTGTTCACTTTTCATGGTCTGAACTCACCCGGATTCGTACAATATGTGTTTGGTTACTTTCGTGACTCATGGTTGAAAATTTTCAGTTGGGTTTTATTTTGGCAAGAGAAGAATCTCTCCAAGGATCTAGACAGCTTGGTTTAGAAAGGATGAGCTTCACAGAGGCATGGCTTTTGGATTGTTTTCTTCACAGTCCTCACCTGATAGGTTTCTAAGTAAATGTTTGTTAAATGATCTGAAGAATGGGTATACTATTAACTTTTGTTTGCTTCTACAAGAGATGGCAAGGCAAGGAGCTGACGACAGCACATTCTAATTTTCCAAGGCTGCCTTAACAACCCTCCACAGACGAACTAGTTCATCCAGCAGAAATTTATTTCCTCACAGTGTCAGATGCTTTAGGTTGATACAGGGTCGGCACGTTCAGCCTCTCCTGAACCATCCATCCCTGTCTTGTGGACCCCTGCCTGCCTTCTCCCAGAGTCTTCAGAGCCCCAAGCCAGTCTGTGCTGTTTTCCTCTTCTTATGAAGACTCTGGAACAAACAGGTGTCTTGAGGTAGGATGTTTCTTGCACCATAAAAAGCAGTGCAATCACTGCAATCTAAAGCAATGGGAGACTTAGAAAAGAAAAACCCAGAACGCTAGAGCTTGGCTCATTGTAGACTTAAGTAGCATACTTTTGAAATGCTCCGGATGATTCTGCTGACCCTGGCATCTGACATTACATAGGATGCTTAAATGGAAAAGTCAAAGTCCGGAAGGAACTGGAAGGTCACTTAGCTTAGCTGCCCTGTTTTGCATGGATGGAACTGAGGCAGAGTATTGGACCGGAGTGTCCCCCCACCTGCAGAGCTCCTGGCTCTTGGCTTCTGACCAGGCGGGAGCAGCAGCCTTCCCTCTGCCCACCGGGGCAGGGCTGGGACCCGGTTCTTCTCACTGCACCAACAATTTCTGCTTTCTATCACCATCTACCATGTTCCGCTGTGTTGTCTCAGGGCCGCTCATGACTTCTAAGTTTCTACTTTTACAGCATAAAAGATAGGAAATAGGGAATATGAAAATCCAATTCAAGCCAAGGCATCAAATATAAATGTTTTCTAACTAGTTTAACAGCCCAATTCTAGGATCTTTAAATACCAAAGATACTGTTAGCATTTTCCTCATGCTTCCTACAGGAGAAAAAGCCACAAGTCTGTGCTGAACATTGCATCCTGTAGTGGGAAAATAACAATTTAGAAGAAACTTTCCTGTAATATCTGTTTTTTCCCATTGTCCCCATACACGTCCCTCAAGTGGATGCAACCAACCTAGGAAAGCAGAACCCAGACAGGGCACAAGTTGGTCGTTCTTTGAACCAGTGGGTGAGTAATAATCATGAGAAGCTTCTCGAATAGAAGCATTGCCTCCCTTCTTCTGTCCGGTCTGTCCAAGGATTCATTTTCTGAGTCCAGGACGATGTGCTAAACAGGAAGGGAATTTTCTCTTTGGTGAGGGGTGGAGACCTGGGGGATTTTTTTTTTTTTTAGATTAACTAAATGTAAATATGTAGTGGCTTGGAGGTTTCCTCCCCCAGCAATCTGTACATCCAGTAACTGGTGACAAGAGGCTTTCCTCCTATCTGTGTCCCAGGTGAGGAGAATTGATACCTGCTGACACCTCATTGAACAAAAGTGGACATATTTTTTATGCTTAGTGTTACAGGATCATTTTGAGTCACTTTCTTTTGCATTAAGCTTTATCTCAGTAATAGCTGGTTTTGGTTGTAGCTCTTTACTATTTCACGAGAAATTCTTGATTCAGTGAGTTTCCAACAGATTTGGAAACCGAGTGAAGCAACTGATTGTTGGTTCCCAGGCTAATTAAAAGGAGCCTAAATAAACAATGTATATCATGCCTACAATGTACACTTGCAGTGCAACACCTAGGTAATTTATAGTTTGTGCATGCAGATTGGAAAGCTTTCAATATATTTTCTATCATTGTAATCATGAGTCATACTCAGATACTCCTTTGTTTGTGGTACGCAGATCCTAGAACCTTTGTGCCAAGCTAGATCTCCAGCCTTTTTTTTTTTTTAATTATAACTAAGTTGCTAAATTTCCCAGGCTGAGCTCTAATTTTCAATAATCCTGCCTCAGCCTCTCAGAGCGCTAGGATTACAGGTTCAAAACACTAGGTCTAGCTTCAGTTATTTTTTGAGGATTTCTGACCACCTAATTTTCACTTTATAAAGTTATGTGCACTTCGGCTTATTTTCTTTTAAATTTGCAAAAGAATTTACAACAACTTTCTCACATAAAACTCAATATAAGCCAGTGTAGGTAAATTAAAGATGTAAATATTTATTAAACCTTGCTTATTTATATCTGTTGTACAAGTATCAGTCATCATGTATTCTCTGCTAAAGCAATTTTGTGTTTCACAAACCATTATAAAAATGGTAGTGTAAATAAAAACATAGTCAAGTTAGTTTCTACTTTTCAAAAGTTTAGCAATCTAGTCAGTAGCACAAAACATTATAATATAAGTAGAATGTTTCTTGGTCTTAATATTGTTACCAGGTCCTTGAGATTATGAATTTGAGCCTTCCAAGTAAGAATGAAGTGAATCACTGCTGTCCCAAAGCTACTGCAAACATTTCTCCCAAGCATGAGCAGAAATAACCTCCCGGTGGCCAGGAGGACTCTGTCCTGGGAAACCGGAGTCCCTGCCAGAGCTGTGCCTCCCGCGGAAGGGCACTCCTTCCTTCAGGAGGCCCGGGGCAGTGCACAGAGAGTGGCTTTGTTGGGGGGACACAGCCACCATGCGTGGGCAGCAGTGGCCCTGCTGACGTGGGCGGCTTCAGGGATTGGATGAGTGTTTTATCAGCCATGATCAATGGTGAAGCTCTATGACGTGGACCAACAGTGTGGAGACTTCCGTGCACGGGGCATGGGTGACGATGCAGTCTCAGATGTGTGTGTGGTTGTTCAAGAAGAGGCCAGGTTGACTGGGAAAGAATCTGCCTGGGTTTGGCAAGCGGAGGTTTGGATGAGGAGGTGAGCAGAGGTCAGATTTGGGGCCCTGGATGTGGGTGAGGAGTTCAGGTTCTTCCCCCAGATGCAAACAATCAAATCCATCCCATGATCGGTGATATTTTCTTTTAGGTAGCTGAACCCCAGTTACAAGAACAGAATGACAGGATGAAAAGTTTTAAGGCAAGCAGACAAGGTTAGAAACTGCTAAGCCTCGGACATGGGTTTTAGTGTCTTTCCACATCATGAGAAGGAAGAGTTTTATTATAAGAAATATTATTTTAATCTGACTTCTAAAAGGAATCGATAGTTACTATGGAAAACATTGAAAATATGAAAAAGAAAATCACACATTGTGATTTAAACCACAGATAAGCAGTCTTTGTAGAAACTTTGGGTCTTTTTATTTTGTTAGAGTTTATGCCTGTTAGGGTCATGTCATGTTAGAATGTATGTTTGCATAGTTTTGTTAAACTGTATTATGTATTGTAGCTTTTCATCATCTTTTTTTAGTAAAAAGATTTCTGGAGATCTCATCTTTAATGGCTGCACACTATTTAAATTTTGGGGTCGTGAAATGTACTATTCCATTATTAGACATTTAATTTCCAGCTAGAATTTTATTATTATAAACACTGCTATAAATGAACATCAACAACCATAGAGATGTTTTGTTTTATGCTTTGCTTTCTGTATTTCCTTTTGCCTATTTCAATTTTAAGTCTAATATGCAACTCTCTACACATTGAAAACTGGGAAAGGGTAGTTCTTGCTTAGTTTTTGAAGCCCCTGCTTTTACTGAAATCCCTGACTTATTTGAGGCCTGCCGTTTGGTTTTGTGTTCTTTAATCCATGCCCTCGTGCGTAGATGTGCAGCTGCTTCCCGACTGTCTCTGTTTCAAACAATGTTGCTGCTGTGCCTGTCACTGCACACATGGATGGCTGTGCATCTCCAGGTTAACTCCAGGGGCACAAGAGGCCCAGAACCCCAGCGCCCAGTGCACACTGGTTCCTGCCACCCACCGGGGGCTGCTGCCCGGGTCTCAGTTCCGCAGGCAGACTACATCCTCAGTGGTGTGCACTGTGGCTTCTCTGCGGTCGGTGTCACCTCTGTGAAGTGCTGCCTCCTTTTTTGTATATGAAACAATACCTCGTGTTTGTTTTGCATGGGGTAATGAATCCTAGCCTTTTTTATTATTTATATCTCTGCATATTTTCTATTCATTAAGCATATTCTTATATTTTTAGCATAGTTTCGAGCTTCTTATCTCGAAGTCTGCTCGTTTTTTCCCCATGTGGAACTATCTCTTCCTGTCCCGTGTGTTCTGTGTGGTAATCTTGTGACAGTCGTACATGTATTTGGTGAAGTATTTTCCCCCCTCTCTTCCTGTCTCTTAATCTTCATAAGTCCTTTCTGTTAAATTTATCAGGTTGATCATTTATGCTTTAGGCATTTTCTAACATAACTACAAAGTTGTCCCCCGGTGTCAAAGACTTCTCACCTAGAATTTATTCTAGTTCTTACGAGTTATTTTACCTTAATATCTTAATTCATCTGCCACTGACTTTCGTAACTATCAAGCCATTATCCAGATTGGGGAATATTGAAAAATAGAGAGTAAAAGAAAAATTAGGAAAATGATACTACATGTTCCATTGCATATCGATAGTTGCATCGTGGAGACAGCTTTAAATATGGAGAACATTTCTACACGCCCGGTGCGTGGTAGTGGAAATGGGGACCTTTTCCGTGTGATTTCCCAGAAAACCTATCAGGATCCAGCGGTGTGAAATCTCCGCACAGTAATTCCGTGCGGTGGAGTTCAGTGCAGTTTTGCTTCCCGTGTGCCCGCCGCGGCCTTGCCCACGGTGGCCACTCACTGCGGAGGGAGCACACTGTCGGCTTCGAACAGCTAACAGAGGCTTCGCTCTGCTTTCAGCAGGTCACAGAGGCGGCCAGTCCCGCGTCGCTGCCCCCCTCGGCTCTGCCCCTGGAGCTGCTGGACAACGCCGTCGCGGCCTTCGGCACCTTGGAAGAGCTCATTCGCTATCTGGAACCAGACAGGTGGCAGCTGGACCTGCAGGATCTGTACCGGCCCTCTTGGCAGCCCCTGGGCAAGGCTTTCGTTTTCGGAAGGAAATCCAAAGGTAAGCGCCCTCTTCACGTTAGGCCCTTGACTACATTTTTAGCAGCTAATGTTTCAGATTCTTTTGCTGCAACTTCCAAAGAGGAGAAACGCTGGGAAATTCCTCAGTGATATATGTAAATAATCCCCTTTCTTATCATTCGAGCACATTTATATATTCAAGTAGAATACAGATAACAGGAGTCACTTAATTGTGACGCAGTGGGTTTGGTAATTTAAGAGATGCTTTCGAACGTTTCAGTCATTTTTAATCCTCTGAAGTAGTATTTTGATGAATTTTATGGCATTTCATGAGAACCATTGCTTAGTCTACATTTGGAGTATATTGATTTATAGATTCAGGGGTAATTATCATAGCTGTGAACAAGATTTGGGGCTGGAAGGCAGGGCGCCTCTATAAAAATCATTAGTACCCTTTTTCGCATGGTGACACTTGCATTCATTTATATTTCCTAAGCCTAGAAAGTTCTCAATGTGGAGAGTAGCAATGGATAGACCAAAAAATAAAGTTAGATGTTTCCAAGGTAGAATTTATAGCAAGAAAACAATAAGCTAAAGGAAACCACACCATAATAGTTTTTCTTTATATAAATTTGCACTTGAAATTATCACTTTTGACCAGACAAATCTCCTTTTATGAGTGAAAGTACTGATGACTAAATCGAAGTCCACTCAATCAAGAAATTGCCAATAACATTCGCTGAGCTTTCAGTAGGGTTAACTAGGTTTCCCAGTAAACTTAGAAATGCCAAGCGTTCCTGTCAGACACAGATGGCAAGGCAAGAGGAATACCAGGGTGACTCAGAAAATTTATTTTAGTCTCTCAGAGCACTGAAGTGAACCCAGGGTCGTTCTGTAGAAGGTAATGACAGTCTGAAGAAGGCGTGGAAGGGACAACGTTCAGTTAATTGGAGCCACTCACGAGGGCAGGTGGCCCCAGACTTGTTCTAAGTCTTGTCAGAAAGAAATCTGACTCCTGCCTCTTCCAGCACAGATTTGCTTCTTGGATCATAAGCTTTAACCTCTGTGGGTCACGTTCCGACTGCCACCTCTCTGGTGTGTTGCCATGCCTGCAGACTGGGTTTCCTTCTGGAAAGATTCGAAATGTATGTTCAAGTGCATGGGCAGCTGAATCCTGTCCAGATGCTGGATGCTGTTACGCATTTAAGAGATTTGATCTTGATGAATAACTTACCAACAACACTTCCCCTCCCTCCCACTTAGGAGCAGGAAGGTGAAGATCAGCGTGACTGGCTGAAACACCCATGAATAGGGCTTTTGTTGGCAAATGTGAAATAGATTGTCGTGTGTATCTGTGAGAAGCAGCGGCAGTGAACAAAATGTTTCTAAGCTCAGATCTACTTTTGTGACAGCTGATTTCTGGATTCTAGCCTAAAATCCTACCTTCCAGCCACATCTTCATGCCTGAATTTCTCTGCCTGTTTCTCCAAGGTTTGGCCGGACGCTGATGTGCATTTAAAAGCATCCAGAACTGCACTAGATCTTTCAAATATTCATTTAACACTTTGCAAATTGAAGCCTTTTGCAGTTTGCCAAAACTATTACATTTTTAAGCATATAGTGTGTGAGCACAGCAGTGTATATTTTTGGAACTTTATATAAACTAAAATGCAGGTGTGGCATAACATCTATGTAGACAAAAGCAACTCCCCTCTTGAGAATCACTGCACAAGGGAATAGGAGTAAAACTTTTAAAAGCTTCTAATTAGACATTGAAACAGATTTTCCTCAGAATAAACATATCACAGTGTTACCACATTCATCTTAGAAAGACCACCTTTGGATTGCATTATGATAACACAGTATCCTTGGATTGAATTTCCTGGAAGAAAGACTAACAAAGTAAAATGTGACCCTAATTTTTATGTCAATATCATCTTTCATCGTGAAACTTAAAATATTACTGAAATTTGCTCTAGAAATCATGGTTTTGACTAGCTTTGTGGTCAAATTCTTTGTTCTTTAGAAAGACTAATATAAACCTTAGTACTTACAAGAAGGAAAAAAGAATCTAAAGGCTGACTTCTGTGTTACCAATAATTTGTAGAGGGAAACTTCTTAATATTATAGTTAAGCTAATAAAAGTATGCCTTGGGGCGTAATCACACTTTTGGCTTCTTTTTCTTTCTTTCTCTTTCTCTCTTTCCCTCCTCCCCGTCTCACTTTTGTCTAGCAGATCTGTGAGAATTTGTGATGTGATATTATGCTCACAGTGCTTATTTTAACAAAGCTTGTATTTTTCTGGCTTTTTTGAGAAAGGGTCTCGCTATGTAGTTGAGACTGACCTGGAACTCACTGTGTAGCCCAGGCTGGTCTCAAACTCACAGCAATCCTCCTGCCTCAGCCTCCCGAGTGCTGAGCTTATAGGTGTGTGCCACTATGCCCAGCAAAGCTTATATGAGTTTGAAACCTTAAGATTAGGAAGCATAGATTGCAAAGATGATAAGCTACTTTTACCCTAAACTGTCTCATTAGCCCAGGGTTCCTGTATGTGTGTTTTTCTGGGGCTTTACTTTGTGACTGATTCTTCCTCTGACCTGAGTTTGTATTCATATGCTTCTGCTGCAGGAAAAAAGAAAAATGGTTATTTTCTAAGTTAGGCTTAACTAGTACTTTGAAAAAGGCTTTTGACTCCTGTGTCAACCATGATAAGTGAGTGGAAGCCAGGTTGAAAGTGTGTTTACATTTTCACATTGTAGGAGGTATCATAATTTACTTCACTTGGGAAATCTACCTGAGCTGTTGTTGTGGTTAAGTAAACATTTAAGGAGAACATACACAGTCTCGTTTTCTAGTGTCATGAAATAGTGTGTCTGAAACTATTTGGGGAAGCTAAATGTCCTTTGAAAGCTAAGAGCTTCATTCACCTTCTAAAGAAAGACCCCAGACAAGCATTGCAAACCGGAGCCAGCTCCTGTGTCTGTGTGTGTTTTCATACCCTCTCCCCCTTGCCCACTTGTTACCTTATAGAGGTAAAGAAGATCTAGATTTGATAAGGTCACATATTTTTAACAGTAAAAGAGAAATCTGCCCATATGCAATGTGTGCAGCAGAATGAAACCAGGTAAAATATGTGACATCATTTAACCCAGTGATCTCATTAATTTTACATATATTTTGGTTTTTCTTTCAGGGCCTTTGAAACAATGAACTCATTTCCTCTTAAATGTCTTTACAAGATTACTTTCAGATTAAAAATCTTCATTCAAATAAAAACTGATTTTCTATTGTACCAGAAAAAATGATATTTTAGCTGGTAATGCTGAAATGGACCTGCTGAATTAGTATGACTAGGTGTATTGCTAATACTTGGCCTAAGTTTTCCTCAGATAGTTATCATGCTTGTAATTCATAATTACATAGTTATAATTTTATAATATATTTCATACAAAATAAAATTTGTCTCTTTTTGATGAGAAAATCTTGATCATATATATTTCAATGTTAAGAAAACAAGAATTTGGAGTTTAATTATTATAATATCTTTAAATTATTTAAAATACAACAATTCATTTTTTTAAGTTAGATGTTTTTAATGTTTCTTACATCAGTGTGAAGGCATTTAACCGTACTTCTTATGTTTTAGGCAATAGCCCTAATTAAAAAAAAAACAAAAACAAAAACAACTTCTGGAAAAACAAAGAACCCTTTATTTATATATTAACTTTTCATGGAAGGGAAATGTTTTATTGTAAGAGCAGAAGTTATTAGGAAGTGCAGCCTCAGAGGTATTAGGAGTTTATGGTCTTGGTTTAGACTGAGTAGATTCCTGTGGATTTCTATCCTCTCTCGGCTAAACGATGACAGAGATGTTTTTATATTAAGAAGATAAAAAGTTATTTTTTAATAAAAAGTTATTAATCTATAGATAAATAAACATACAAATAAAGTATGAAAGAAGAGGTAATAGGAAGAGAGAGAGAGAAATTTGTGCTCAAAGTATGTTTCTGCTGTGTGTTTCCAGTTCCACTCTAGTGGGGCGTCAGAGCTCACCGTGCGGGGTGGCGTTCTCTGGATCTGTGAGGGCCTTTGTTGTTGCCAAGAACATGGTCCATCTTGAAAATAAATAAGTACGTCAGTGAATTAATCTGCAGAATAGGAAAAGCTGTGCAGGTAGAGGGTCGGCAGTGACTGCCTCAATTCAAGGGGGGATGAGGGATGAAGGGAAGTCGTAGAGCCTCCTGTCTGGGGATAACCAGGATGATCACGCTTGAGCATGGCCAGGATGTGCAATTCTGTTAGATGGTAAAGGCACTGAACCATACACTTTCAGTTTGTAAATTGTATGGTATACAAATTTTTGTTCAATAAAATTGTTACTAAATAAAAAAGAACCCCAGAGAATATACGTAATGTGAATCTCTTAAATTTTTTAGAGTAATTGTGTTATGCGGCACTTCTAAAGAAGGAGCTATGAAGCAGAAATTAAAATTATATGAAAAGAATTTATTCTAATAATGAATGACTCTATGTGCTAGGTAATATATAAATTCATAGTAAATATGGCATGTTGTTTTGGTGTAAGTTTTCTGAGACTGTATCATTTTGTAGTTGAAAACAATGGTTCTTTGAGGATTCTCTGCAACCATCTAATGAAAGGATATTTTGTGTAGTCTTCACAAGTAGATACTTAAAAAGTAAAGCACAAAATAGTTGAACAGCTTGCCAAAAGAATGGAGACGAGGGCTTATAGATTCGACATCTCTTCCATCTTTTAGAAATCAAAAGGACTTTTACTCTAAATTTTAAAAAACATGCATACCTAATACCCTTGACACTGGCCTTTCTAGCAACTTCTGATGTTACAATAAAACATTTTTTTTTCACTTATGGTCCACTCAGCTGTCTTGAAAAAATACATCTTCTTCATCCCCTTTCTGCATTTCACATTTCTTAGCACCAGGAACATTATAGAAAGTTCTCTTGACTGAGTTCAGTAAGTCTTTCACTAACTGCGCACGCCTATTACCCTTTTAAACACTGCATTTGTTTTTTCATCAAAGCATTCATCATTTTACTCGGTACTCTTCTCTCCAATGCTCTCCTTGTCTACTTTCTTACGAAGGTTAAAAGGTGTAGCCCCCTTTTTCTCTATGAAGTCTCCTATTTATAGCGCTCAACTGTTTTGTTGGCTCTGTTCATCGTAGTGCACAATGGTGTCTCTTCACTGGTCACCAAAATCATAATGAAGCTTTGTTGGCCATGAAATGGAACGTCCAATTTGCAAGCTGTACAGCCTCACAACCTAGTGAAAATACGAAGGGGTATTGTTAGAGCTACTATTCAAGAAATAGCTGGATTCCTCATGAAATACATTCAGGCTCAAAGGGTGAACGCTTATTTTTTCCGTCTGTGCTCATCTTCTGCCCTGTAGTGGTGGACCTGAACCTCGTAAAAGAGGAGGTGAGATTGTACAGCTGCACCCCTCGGAACTTCTCGGTGTCCATACGGGAAGAACTGAAGAGAACGGATACCATTTTCTGGCCAGGTTGCCTCCTGGTGAAACGCTGCGGTGGAAACTGTGCCTGCTGCCTCCACAGTTGCAACGAATGTCAATGTGTGCCCAGCAAAGTCACAAAAAAATACCACGAGGTGGGTGTGTCCTGCTCTCTTCCGGTTCCCTCAGGCACTGTGCATCCTACAACCTACCCTTAGCCTGAGATGGATTTACGTGTACGAAGGAGACGTAGCACTCATGGGATGGCAGGGTTTATAAATAGTTTATGTTTCTACTTTTTAAAAATTAGGGCCTTTAGTTTAATGACCCAGAGATATGGATTTAGAATGCTTATTCTCTGGTCGCTTAGCATGGGTGGTCAGTGAAGCTTTTACTACTGACACAAACAAGAAAATGCATTTTTCTGAGGGGAAAGCAGTCAGTGCATCTTTCCAACTTTTAAACTTTTTAAACTGTGAAGGGAAAATATTTTAAAGACAGGCTTAGGGAAAAGTCACTGTCTCTTTTGGAAAAGGAAACCTTTGAAATTTATTTTTATATTTGGGTCCCTATGGGCACATAAATCGCAGGAGAACATATTCATATTTATACTACTCTTCCTGTTACTTGTGTTGCCTCAAATAGCATGCTCAGAGTTTTATGAATTTTTCACCCATTTACTCCTCTTTTCTCTGGAATTAAGGAAAACATTACATGGAATGTTAGTTCTTACTTCAAAGGCTTGGGGACTGCGGGCCTTGTCCCCTTAAAATACTCAGTAATGCTCAGATGACCAGAATTAAACCCTTCTGTCTCCCCTCGGCCCCTCGTAGCATACACATAAACAAAGGGCCTCTCTGGCGCGTCAGTCTTAATTTCTATAAAATATTTACCTTCTACCAAGCCAAGATCTACCCTTCCGACTTCACTTCAATACATATTCGTTGTTCTGATTTTTTTTCTTCAAATAAAACAATGCAGAATAAATATCTATTTAAGAAAGACAGTGGTGAGAGCTGGGGATTTAGCTCAGTGGTTCTGCCGCCTGCCTGGCAAGGTACAAGGACCCAAGTTCGATCCCCAGTACAAAAAAAAAAAGAGAAAGACAGAGGTGAAACCCTTCTCTGTTAGAAAATTTAAATGTGTCGTTTCACTAACTGTACCCCCAGGACATGGTTTTCCTGCCCCTCATTAGGGCTCTGTCAGAGGTGGTGGAAATGGGAAGTGAAAGCCCCAACTTCCGGAAGACAAGGGATCTTCTTTCTGTCCGCGCTCTGCCATTCTCTCCTGTGATTGTCATCAGGACACTAACCTTTGGGATGTGGGGGTGAAAGATGACATTATCTCAGATTTTCCCCGCCTTTGTTATTCCGCAGCAGTTACTGGATGGCAGGCTTGTAGGAGGTCAAGTCCCAAACTAATAATCTGTAATTAGAAATGGGATTGTTCACTGTCCCGGTCTGTGCTCAGTTTTCATTGCCACGCTGCCAGATTCTCAAGGCCCTGTTGTCTGCGCTCCAGGCGTACAGGCCAGACTGCTGGCCACTCTGTATACTGGGAATTTAGTCAGTAGCAGCAGCAATGGTGTCTGTGACACAGCATTTCCCAAACAAAGGCTGGGCAGATGTGAGAGTTGCCTAGCATAACATTAAAAGGTGCAACAGAAACACAGATGTCTCTGGATGGATCTTTTCCCACATAGAATCACTCAGCTTTAAAGTTCTGAAATGGGGCCGGGCATTTAGCTCAGTGGTTCCACCACCTGCCTTGCAAGCACAAGGACCTGAATTCAATCCTGGGTACCAAAAAAAAAAAAAAAAAAAAAAAAAGAAA